CACTACTAGACTAGTACAATAATGTTTAAATGCTGCATGAAAAGAAATCTTGTGATTTACATAGATGTGCCGACCAAAAATATTTTTTTAACAAATATCATTGTTTAAAACTTTGAGTTTAAAAGTTTCCAAAAAGGCGCCACTTTGCTGAAAATTGCAAGAGGGGGAGCGGACGCTCCCCCTGCTCCCCCCCCCCCTGCGTACGCTACTGCACCTCAGCCTACAACCCCCCCCCCCCTCAAAATCGCAGTTGAATTTTTTTTTAAACATCTATATTTTTCTAAAATCTTGTTGAACTATGTCAAAATAGAGTATTTTAATCAATTCCTATTTCAATTTATTAAAACGGTTTTCTAAAACGCGAAATAGCGTCTACAATTCTTTTCCTAACATTGTTTTTTATAATGCAAACGTGTGACGTCGCACCATCTGACCCCCCCCCCCCCCTCCACCTCATCACAAACCGTCACAAAATTACGGACCCCCCCTTCCTCCCTACGAGTGTGACGTCATTTATGGATGACCCCATAGTGTTTTGCAGTTTATGTGTATTCATTTATTATTACATATGAAGCCATACATCGTATAATGAATTACATCGTGTTTTAAAATAGTAATTATTGGACTATAATGAAATTTCTAAAACATCGCTTTGTTTATTTTAATATATTATAATTTAAATTTAATGCCTATCGTATTAAATTAATTATACTTTATCTTCCACTTCTGTAGATCAACAAAGACATTACTTTATTTACTGCTAGGCAATTATCTAGTTAAAATATCATTCACCTTTGTATGTGTCATTCATCATCACGTACGCTGCTATTTTAAATTAAAGCACACGCAAATATTATTCCAACTAAAACCTTTTTTTTTCTTTATTTGTTGTGTTGAAGGTTTCCATTTGCCATTGTATTATTTACTGTAATGTAAGGTTTTTATTGGTACTCTCACTTTAAGTAAAACCCCTTATCCCGCATGGACGTCATAAATTAATGTCCTAAAGCAGGGGTCTCCAAACTTTTCAGTCCGAGGGCCGCATTAACTATCAAATTTTAGTTCAGGGGCCAGTTTCTTCCTGGCATGTCTTTTATTTTTCTGGTCAAAGTTCCTCAGCCATCACCAACAAACGTTTTTTTCCGTGGACAAAATATCTCCGCGGGCCGGATAAGAGGACCTCGCGGGCTGCATACGGCCCGCGGGCCGTAGTTTGGAGACCCCTGTCCTAAAGAGATTGGGTGGAAGTTAGGGACAAGGACAAAGAACAGGGATTTATTTAGGGTTAAAAGACAATAATGGGTGGTTGTAATGGGATATTGGCTGCCGGTAAAAAAAAACCTGGATATAAACCCCCTGGATATAAACCCCCGACTGAGGTTTATATAAGGAAATAATAACGATGATGAGAACCAAAAAAAATTAATTATAGTAATGTAATTTTTAACGACTAAAAAAAGTTTCTACATAAAAGTATACTATTAGAAAGTCAAGGTGTGGCCTTAGTCGTATTAAATAAAAAAAATCGCGCATCGACAACACCTTAGAAATAGGTCATCCATCTTTTGGAGCCGTGCGGATCAAAGCAACACATTTTTAACAATACAAAAGATGTGAGAGATTCACCGACGGATGCTTGATTCATATCCACCTTGGCACACAGAAGCATGGTATAAATATAACATCAAATGTATTTCTCCACAAATCGTATAACTTCTATTATGATTGACCTTATCAAACAGGCAAAATCGCTCCAAGAGGTTTATTATACACAGATGAATTCAGGTCACTGGTTACGAAAACAGAAAAAAAAATTTTGAAAGCAGCGCTCGAATTTAAACAGCTGTTAAAAATTTTAATAAGCCCATTATTATTGAGTATTTGAGAGGCATCGCGTACAATATCTCTTTTTTATGTTTAATAAAATACTGTTTTTTCTAAAGTTTGTTTTGTTTTTAATTATTAATTTTGTTTCTCGTCATATTTTTGTTTTTTCTTTATATAAACCTCGATTGTTTTTTTTTGTGTCCAGGGAATTTATATCGCCGGGGGTTTAAGTCGAAGGGGTTTAAATCGATGGTTTAGGTCCAGGGGTTTATTGTCCAGCGGGTTTTTGAACGGACACCTGGGATATTGGATTGTTGTCCCTTTGCAGCAGATAGACCATTTGCGAGCTGGAAACTGGGTCTAGTTTATATCTTAAGCAGAAACTGTGTTTTATTTTATTTTGAGTGCTTTTAAAGATTGTTATCATAAAGGTGTTTTTAATTACCTTTGAGAGGAAGGGAAATCGTTGTACTTTAACACGCAGATATGGAAAAAAAGCAGCCCAAAGTTCAAGCACATCCGTAAAATAGTTTAAATATGACGGACTGGTTGGTGCAAAGAATATATATAAATATTTTATTTCTTCCTGTGAAGGAAAAAAGAACATATTTAACTACAGCAAACCGACTTTGTTATATGATGTTGCTTCTAGGGAAATGTACCTTAAGGAATATTATTAGCTTATAGAAAATAAATTCGAATCCCCCCCCCCCCCATTTTTATTAGCATGTTTAAATCAGGTTTCTGTTAGAATAGGATGAAAGTAGGGTAAGAGTTAAATCGGGTTATTCTAGACCTAGATGTGACTAATAAATTCACAAACTGTAGAATTCTAGAGCAAGATTTCGTTACGGTATATTACATTAATATTACCGAGTTAAATAAAGCCTGGGTTTCTTTTAGATATTTTGTCAAGGGGAAGGGGAGTACTAGAAATTTCTGGTTGAATTATATGTTTTCTTTTGTTTTTTCGTGAGACGGTGGACATGCTTGTGAGGGGGTGGGCGTCAATGTTTCACTTGAGAGATATTTAAAAGAAAAGAAAAACTGAATAAAACGTCGTAGTAAAAGATTCCCTAAGGTGAGAAATATGAAAGAGACGAAAACTACCGGCGCTGATCTGTAGAAAAGACGTAGACCCTGCTTAAACTTTGCTGGAGCTTTACCTGCCAACGCTACTGGGCTACAGTACAACATTAGCGCACACAGCATTAAAGAAGTTTTATAATTTTGATCATCTATATATGACGTCACGCCTATTTACGTATTTTTACGTCCATCCTCCCCTCCGTGACAAATTGTCACAAAAAGCCAGACCTCCCCCCCTTCAAACAAAAATGACGTCATACTTCAGCCAACAACTCCCCTCAAAATTGTAGTGTAAAAATTTATTGTTGTTTCTAAAAATTCTGATTGATCTCGATCCACATAGATTTTTTAATTGTTAAAATTAGTTTTCTAACATAACTTTCTTATAATGCAAAAGTGAGACTTCACACAATCTGACCCCCCCCCCCCCTCCGTATCACACACCGTCATTACGGACCTCCATTATCCACCCCCACTCCCCAATAACAAACATTTCTGATTGTAAGATAAAATAGTTACGTTTTCCATCAATGCTTTTAAAAAAACCCATTAAAAATAAATTTAAAAATTTCCTAGCTATACGTCGACTTTAAGTCTTCTAAATTTACACTTGGTGACTGAGATAAGTTTCCCTGGGCATCGACGCATGACTTAACACCCCCAGTCATTCAAATGTGGGGCTGCGGGTTGAACATAAAATATCATAAGGAAAAGTGTGGGAAAGACGGACGTGGAATATTACAGGGTTGTGCCCTCGTCAATTCACTTCCTGCAGCTTGGCTGTAATTACACTTATGTCGGTACAATGAGATTTTATTTTAGTTTACAGAAAACACGATAAATTTAGCTAAGTCATTGAAATAATATAAAATAATATAAAAATTAAAATGAAAAGTTATAGGAATACAGTACTTATTTTTTGACTCAAACAAGGGCTTCAACGATACACAAAAGGGAGGGTACCTGTCGTTCCAGCACACACAACACACACACACACACACAAGCCGGGGACATGTAAGGGACGTAACAATTAGATGTTTTTGTTAATGTTCTGATTTAAACAGGTTTTTACACAGTACATAGCTACAACAAAATAAATTAAAATAAACGACATGCTTATTTCTGGTATTTTCTAATATTCAATTAGGCATGTTAGGTTGTCGTCGTTTTAATCGTGTAAATTAAACGGGTATGTAAGGGGTCGGCGTGGTCGAGTCGGTAAAGCTCATGGTTGCTAAACTGAAAAATCTCGTGTACGAACCCTCGAGCAGATGAGGCTCTAAAATTAAACAACTGCTGCATTGTAGTATGTTCTTGGTTGGACATAGACTATGGAAGCAAATCCAAAAAGAAAAGCTGGCTGAAAATCAAAGTCATTGTAACAATGGGGATCCCTTCCAATACCAAAACCGCTAATCAGATTAAACGGGAAAATACCAGCTCGTAATATGCTTTAAAGGCGGTTGGTCATAGTGCAGACCACACTATCCCTCGATATGCCGAAATCATTTTAACAGGTTAACTCTACTTCACCTGCCCGATTGACAGCAAGGTACGAAATATAACTTTTACTTACTATTATTTGTATTGATTATTAATATTTATTAACATTAATCTGGTAAACCAATGCTAAATTAAAAAAAAAACTAGCTTATTTGCATATAAACGTTTTTGTGTTATACACAGAGTTTCTTCCAGGCACCTCTTCGGGGGGGGGGGGGCTTTGCACCCCCCCCCCCCCTCGAAAAAATTCTACCGCCCCCCCCCCCCCCCCCCGAACGAAACGAAATGTATATAATTTATATAGAAAATATATACTTTTAATAGTGTCCGCCCCCCCCCCCTCCAAAGAAAGTCAACCCCCCAGAAAATTTCTAGTGCCCCCCCCCCCCGGAGAAAAAAGTCTGGAAGAAACACTGGTTATACCCAACGAATGAATGTCATGTCTGGAATCGAAAACTTCCTGGTGTCTGGCACATGATCAAGTCACAAGGGGGCACGCTTGGTTAACTATCCGTATCGAATGTATTTTAATGCTCTAGGTGTGTCAGCTCAATAGTTATGTTTCTATAATTAGGATAATCATCAAGCTTAACGTACGTATTTGTTATTTAGCCGATCCTTATATAACTGTTTTAATGATTTTACGATTAGGCTATTTTTCTTGACACAAAAAGATCAGTTTCATATACGTTTTAATCTTGCTGGTATGATAAAAGGAAGCAACTGTAATATCTTTACCTTAATCTACATAAAATGATTTTAAAAGAAGCGATGCATTTCACAGTAAGTATGTTGTTAGATTGTATATGTGTGGAAAGCTAGAACTAAAGAAGCCCAAATTTATTTTTGTGAACAATATTACAGTCATTTTTTTCACTTTTTCTCATATCCTTAGCTTCGGGTATAACGGCTTTCCATTACGTCTTGCATATAATCATTCGTACGTCATGTTTGAAATATGTATTATTGCATTTGATTATTTCTCATTCTCGTGCCTTATATTTCTAATTGTATATGATTTTTTCTAATCAGAGGTGTAGCGACCCATTTTGGCGCCCGGGGCGGGGGGGGGGGGGCGAACTATCGATTTTGCGCCCCCACCCATTTATATATAGATATTGACGTTAGCGAAAAAGCCGTCCCCCACCCCCAACCCTCCATTAATTTGAAGAGGTGGGAGCTTTTTACCAATCACATTTAATTAGGTGTCACACAAATTGCTGTAGACAACATTGAAATCAATCAGCAAAGTCACGTGGTAGTCCATTGTTTCAACTTAGACCAGTATTTTGGTGTTACCGAACCCCACGAGATTTATATGCATATTCGCCGAACCCTTCGTAATACTTTTATCATCCGCACTGACAGAATCCAATCATAAATCATGTGTGTCGGGTGTGGGTTTTGACTTCCGCCGAACCGATGGGGTTCGATTGATATAGATCCCATGTAACAAACCATTGACTTATACCAGAGGTCGGCAACCTGCAGCCCGCGAGCCGCATGCGGCTCTTTTTTGTGTAAATATGCAGCTCTCCAGTTCAGGGGCGGAACTACAGTGCCGCCAGACCCCGCAATGCGGGGGGGCCCAGACCGAATGGGGGCCCAAAAATCCTGGCTAAATTATTTTAAAAAAAAATGTAAAAAAAAAATTAAAACAAAATTTTTTTTTTAAAAATTAGGTGGAGGTCGAGTTATCTTTCTTCTACAGTTACAAAAAAACACGATAGTCGGCAAACGTCTTTGAGAAAAATGCACAGACAATAGCTCGAGAGACCGCCAGACATATAGACAACTTCAAAGACGTAGCCTACCTTTTTACTTTTAGTGGCGTCGATTAGGAGAACAAAAAAGGATTGTTATATTGTTTACATATATATATATATATATATATATATATATATATATATATATATATATATATATATATATATATATATATATATATATATATATATATGATTGTGTGTTTAAACTACTGGCCTGGACTCTACAAAAAATATAATTATTTATTTCGATGTCATACATTTATAATTGCGTTCATTTTTACTTTAACAACTGTATCAATAAACTTGTGAAAGTTTAAGTTATCTCCCTTTAGCGAAGCATCTGAAGTTTTTGCCGGCACGCTTTGAAATCGGGCTGGGGAAATGTTGCGGCGACTATTCTGGTCTTCTAGACGACCGGAAAAAGTCGGCACTATTGATGTAGATGTTTATCGGCACTTTCTAGTCCCCTTCCCTTGAACCTTCCCAACTCTCACCCCTCCCCCCTCACCCCCCTCTCACCCCTACCCCTCACCTCTACCCCTCACCACACCCTTACTCTTACAATAAGATGTAATGCATAGATTAACGAACCGTCTATGAACTACTGAACTGTAAACTGACCACTTCTGCACATTTTGTTAAAGACACTAGTCAGTAGTTGTTCATTTACCTGATGAAGTATTTTGTTGATGAGTCTAATTCACACAACAAGGAAGGTAAGGCTCGTCTTTATATTATTAATTGTTTTAGTTTTATAATTAGTACACGTATTAATTGAACATTAGTTATTAACACTAAATACATTAAAGTTAATCAAATTTAGGATACAATGATCTAGCTTTTAAGCCTAAAAACAACCAAAAGATCTATATCACCTTTGAATGTATTAATGTTTAATTTCATGTTTAGCCCGTAACGGGGAGGGGTTATATTCGGTTATAATATGGGTGGGTCTTTGGCAGTGTTTCTTCCAGACTTTTTTCTTCGGGGGGGGGGGGCACTTGAAATTTTCGGAGGGGGGGGGGGGGGGCGGGCACTGTTAAAAGTATATATTTTCTATATAAATTATATAAATTTAATTTCTTTCGGGGGGGGGGGGGGGTGCGGACCGCACCGGGTGACACCATTTAGGGGGGTGACACCAAGGCAAAAAATAGCAAAATATATAGAGAAAAACTCGAGGGGGGGTGCAAATCGAAAGTTTGAGGGGGGGGGGGGGGGTGCAAATCGAAAACTTGAGGGGGGGGGGTGCAAATCGAAAACTTGAGGGGGGGGGGGGTGCAAATCGAAAATTTGAAAGTTTGTCCCTGGGAAGGGTCTCTATGCCTCTGGGGGGGGGGGGGGGTGACACCATTAAGTGCCGCACCGGGTGACACCCGACCTCGCTACGCCACTGCACCCGATATATATATATATATATATATACATATATATACATATAGATATATATATATATATAGGGGCCTAAAAAATTTTTTTGCGGGGGGGCCATTTTTTTCTAGTTCCGCCACTGCTCCAGTTCCATAATAATTATATTATCTTTTTCAATACACAATAAGTTTTATACTGTAAAAACAAAGATAACTTTTAACAAAATGAAAAACAAAGAGAATAGGTGGAGTAAAACGTATATGGACAGCTGACAGTCGCTGTGCGTTAGCACTTTTCGTTTCTTTGAGACTTTTATCTCCAGGATGGTCGTACTAAAATTTCCAGGAAGGGGGGTGGGGCGGCCATCGTTAAAGGTATATATTTTCCAAATGAATTCTATTTCTATCGGGGGGAGGGAAACCCCTTTTACCCCGCCCCTCATAACATGCCCGGAAGAGGCTCTGGGTATTGGGCCCAGCCCCACTACTGTGCTGTGGCCAACGCCGTGGCAATGGCTCCATGCTTTCAATTACCGAAGTGCATAAAAATGATAGTGGCTCTTTAAAAATTTGGAAATTTTGTACATTTTATTTTTTGGCTCTTCCGTCTCAATACTGTGTAAAATTACGTTATACATCTCAGAATGAGCTTTTTTTAAACCGACTTTCTCGCCCTACACAACACAAGCTACGCCTCTACTTCTTATGTCACGTGGTTCATATCACTTATGATATTTAAATGTTATTACAAGTAAAAACATCACAGCAATGACATAAGATTCCTTTATGTTAAAACTTGATCTACTTCCCTGTTGCCTCCCCTTTACAAACTGGTAAATACGCTGGTTCCGACTGGCTAGGCTTCAGGTATCCCGTGGGTAACCCAATGTTTTTAAATAGCGTGTTTGTTATATGATTACCGTTGACGCTTGAACAAGATTTGTGCTCGTGGGAAATATTATTCTGTTTTGTGTTTGTGGCAGAAGTTTAGAAAAGTCTCTCATTAAAATAAATTACAGTGTAATCATTTTGATTGATTTACAGGTAAATTAAAAGCATGAAACTATTATAGACAATACGTATTTTGGCTATGGTATGTTATATTAAATTATCGCCGAGGAGTTTATATTTAAATATGTCTTTCTGAGAATCAGTTTACAAAACTTAATTTTCTTCGACATTAGATGCTGGTGACATAGATAGTTCTCCTGAATGTAAAAAAAAATGAAGTTTACAGCCATTCTGTGTGTTACTATATGTATATTTGGAGTGATATGTGCTTTGGAAAGAAACGAAACAAATAGTGGTAAGAATTGTATACGTGTACGTTTGTTTTTGTGCGTATTTATGTTAGAGATAGTGTGTATATATGTGTGTTGTTTAGCCTACTCATCTTACTTTTCAAATAACATTTGTAAATTAAAAAAAAACATGCTGTTAATATATAGATTATACAACACTGTCCTAAACAACAATGATGATCATTATTTGCCTTTTTTATTTTTTCTAGAATATAATAATGATTTCGACGATAAGAACATTTCAGCAAGTAATATTGAGGCGCTAAAGGATCTTTTAATGAAAGATATAGAAGAAGAATTCAAAAACGATTTCTTGATTCAAACAAATACAAACATCAGTGACATGATTGACGAAGATGACTGGGATATGGAAACAGGGGAAACAACTGTAAACGCTACAGGTGATTTTCAAAAGCTGCTTTAGCTTTATAATCTTTTTTTTTTGGTGCCGAATAGAATCTGGTAACCTGCGAACACACTCACACACTCACACATAAACAGACAGACAAACAGACACAGACAGACAGACAAGCGGACGGATGGACGGACGGACGGACACACACACACTCACAGATACACACACAGACACACAGACAAACAGACACACAGACACACCGACACACACACCGACACACACACACAGTAAACCCCAGTGCACAATTTCTCACGCAAGCGTTAATGCACTTCTAATTAGACTTAATATTCGTTGTTTTCAGTTTTAATGCAGAATGAAAGTATTAGCAATTCAAGCATAGAACTAGGAAACCAACACCTACTCTATGGGAACCTGTCCGTCCTTTTAGAAGAGGCAGCGAGCACCACAGAAGAGAAAACAGGTTCAGATAAAAGTTGTTCTTTTTTTATTTGAATTTAAATGAAACTCCGCCAGTATCCTTTCAAAAGGTGTTTTTTTCTCAAGAATTCAAATAAACGGTGTGCTTATAGCACAATATCAAGTGTCTTAATTTGTCTGCTTCTGTGTAACAATATAGGAACCTATATATGTATATTTTAACGATTGTATTTATTACGTTTTTTATTCATTCAAAATTAATTATGTTATAACTGTTTCTTATGTAGTTATAAACGCGAATGAAAGTAAGAGCAAAGAAATTACAGGTATTGGAAACCAGCAACTGCATGAGGATTTTACAGAAACGATGAACACCACTTTAAACAATACAGGTAAGATCAGATGGAATGTTCTTTCTATGGGGTATACTGTAGCTTTGGTATCTAATTTATGTTCAGTTAGACCAGGGGTCTCCAAACTACGGCCCGTGGGCCGGATGTGGCCCGCGAAGTCCTATCATCCGGCCCGCGGAGATCTTTTTGTCCAAGGAAAAATCGTTTGTTGGGGATGGCTGAGGAACTTTGCTTAGAAAAATCAAAGACATACCTGGAAGAAACTGGCCCCCGAACTGAAATTTGATAGTTAATGCGGCCCTCGGACCGAAAAGTTTGGAGACCCATGAGTTAGACTGATATATTGTCTTGAAAATAAACAAGTGCACCAATTAAAATTTGAACATTTCTTATATTCACACTTTTTATTATCACACTATTAATCACACGCTATTTCTATTACTGACATTTAAAACGAAACATATTAAAAACTGAGATGTTTCATTTTAAAATTTAAAAACAACTTGAGTCTTTATTTTTATAAAACCTGCCAAGCAAAAAAAATGACTTACGGTTTTGGGAATGATTCCGTGACCTAGAGAAAAAAAACCCATGTGCTGGAACCGTGTTCTTATCGTCATGCACCAGATACAGTAAGTCTAGTATATTATATGTCGTGACGTGATCAAATTTCACCTTTAAGTTCTGAATAACATTACCAATGTCAAGTTCTGCCAGGGTGCGATAAAAGAAAAAAATACACACAGCGTTAGATTAAAATATCAAAACGTTTGTGCTTTCTTGAATTAACCTAATAAAGAATGCAGTATTTTCTGACGGTCAATTAGGCAGGTGAATTAGAGCTAACCTGTCTTTTTTATCTCGACATACAAAATCAATAGCGTGTGATCTAAATTTTTATCAATTTCCATTGCCTTTAAAAACTTCAGTAACGCATCCATTCGAGTTAAGCGGACTATCGGGCAAACCTACATACTAGAGTTAGGTAAATCGAGTCGAGTAGTTTAGGTAAGCCTTCGTAACGCTGTAATGTTTTCCATTTAATATTGTGTGTATTTATAGTTGATTTAACCCATATTATCCCAAGGTCTCAAATTTTTATAATTTTTTGATATGGTTTAGCTTTTGGGCACTGAATGAAAGAATGACTATAGATTTTTTTTTAAATCAATACTTTTTTAAATATCGAATTTTTTTAAAAACGTCCCATAAATGGGACGCTAGTAACGAACGGCCCCATGTACATTTATTGAAAAATAAAATCATTTATCACGAAATATGGCTAATCACGCAAAAATTAAGCTGTATACTGATTTTGTATTGTTAGACCAATGATTACATTGTTTAGGACAGCTAAAAATACTGATAATGATCAATTGGATTAGCCATACCATGGTCTAAAATGCAGAAATTATGTTCAAAAGTCTAGTTTTCTTTCAATCTAGCATCCATCAAAGTGAATAACACTTGGAAATAAGTAAAGCTGTGACTAGTACATCTAATTATACACACATGATCACAAATATTGTTATTATTCACCGAAACTGTAATATAATTAAATATAAATAATTGATTTTTTGGGGAGCGTACTTGAAATTTTCAGGGATGGGGACTTAAATTTCAGGGGAAGGGTGGACATTTGTAAAAGTATGTATTGTATATAAATTCCATTTCGTTCTGGGCGCAGAGCCACTCCCCCCCCCCCCTCCTCCGAAATGATGCCTGAAAGAAACTCTGACCTCAGTGAATTTGCAAAAGACGATCCGGTCTAGTCCCAGATGTCATCCAGCCATCTTCTCTTTTGTTACCCTCGCTATTCCCCCCCCCCCCCATCACAGGTGTACATTAGGACATCAGACATCTTATTTCTACGGCACGGATCCGTCTCTGGGGGCTTGTATTGAGTGTTCATGGCTCTCATCCATGTATCCACCTCATTATTCGAACAGCTCCCAATATAACACCAGGAATCTCCTTAAAAAGTTAACAAAGTAAAACTGGTATCGGGAACCTTTGGAGGGGAATATTATTGGGGCATGACAACAGTACACAGCTAATTCACATTTCTGCTATATGTAGCTTAAGCTCTCTTATATGAAGAGTCTTTCCATCTGTTATTAACCAACCCCCATGACTGAATCATTTCACCTAAATCGTGGCCATTGTTATTATTCTGGTTTTTTATAATTTTAATATCACGCGCTAGTAAATTTAAGCAATACTAAATTAGTTTATATTCAATGGTATTAAATACTTAGGTAAGTGTAATTCTGAAAACTTAAAAATAAAATGTAAGTTTTTCAATATTTGCAATTTTTTAATACAATAATATATAAGAAAATATAGCTCAATGCCATAATTAAATATCTATAAATACCACTTAACACCCCAAAGTCAACAGTTAACAAAGTCAACAATTGTTTAACCATAAATAACCATTTAACATAAACATTTGCATCTGTGTTTCTCGCTAGAGACCAATAAATGTGACGTTTGTGTAACAAACTACATGGGGCCATTCGTTGCTAGCGCCCCACTTATGGGACGCTTGTTGTACACTTGATATAACGAAGTAGTAAAAAAAATTGTTACTCTTAAATTTTTATCAGATAGAAATATGGTACTGCTACAAGTTTCAAATGTATTTTGCACTTAAAATGTTAATATTTTAGAAGATATGCATTTTCCTGTGCGCATGTTTTCTTTTTTCCGCCATTTTGACAAGTCCTGCGAATCCGGCACTTTAAAATTTTTCTAAATTAATTTTTTTCACAAAACACACACAAATTCAATAGTCTAGCCATTTTCAAATACAATGAAACATAATTTGTGTTTTAACTAGTTTTTAATAAATTTTAGCAATTTTTTTTACAAGCGTCCCATAAGTGGGACGCTAGCAGAATATGGATTAATTAAGTACGTAAAGCTGTGAGCGAGCACATGTAGACAAATCCTAAAACAGCATGCCCCTACCAAGTTTAAATTACAGCTGTTCATTCATGTATCTATAAAAGCGTTGTATTACCCTATTTGTAAATCTTATTAAAACAGAAACGTATCGGCCACTTTGCTGCATAAGAGTTATTTGACATACACACACATACATCAATAAATATATAGGGACATAAAAAATAACGCTAACATTTCTATATAAACGAACGAATGCATTTATAATGTGTGTAAAGTTTTTTTTCGATTACACAGAGACGTAGCGAGGGGGCGGGGGGGGGGGGTACATATGTCCCCGGGCGCCAAAATGCGTCGAATAAACAAATTAAAATGTCATTTTAGCTGCATTGTTGTATTATAAATAGCTTAAGCGGGGTAGGGGTGTAAATCGAAAGTTTGAGGGAGGGGGTGCAAATCCCGAGGGGGGGGGGGGGGGGGCACCAAATTGAAAGTTTGTCCCCGGGCGCCGGGAAGGGTCGCTATGCCTCTG